GCAATTACGCTTAAGGTCTTTCTATCATGTTAGTTCCAATTGGCTATTACAAAAAACATCCTATCTGACAAAAAGTGGGATTTACTTCCTTTCACTCAACAGTTTTCACAGTTTTGGGTCGTCTCACTCCCGAATGTGGTTTTGTTCGTTCAACCGCAAATTCCAACAAGGCGGTCCTTCAGTATGGTTTCACACCTGCAAAATTACGCCTTCAAGGCCCTAGGGCAACATGACAGCTGGAGACATACGTGTGAAGCTATCGTTACAAATGAGGTCCTCATGAATGGCGTCGTTTGTGCGTAATGTCAGTACATGCCTTCTCTGGGCGTTACTTTATATTGTTAACTATACTCACAATCGCAATTAAACCCACCCTTCCATGTGTGTTTCTATGTTTTATAACCGTAGTAGTACACGCTAACAACAGACAGTGTAGTCCTACTTTATTGTGAACATTTGTAGGAAGATTTGAACAAGGATTCTCAGTGAAAATGTGTTGGGAAAAAGGGGGCGTTACCCTCTGTAAGGTCTGTCTTGTTGAAGCGAAGCGTCTGCCCTGGGAGGATAGTTTGTAACACCTCAATGACCACTTTATGGGTGCCCTGGAGTTCTAGAGGATAATGGTTCAATAGAAAGCTGGTGGCAACTTTGATTGATTCAGGGGATCTCTTTTAGCTGTGAGGACATTGTACGCCCCCCTCCCCCTTGTCGCCCAACACTGTGGCACTAGAGTCATACATTCAAGAAGAAACTATGATAAAGAGCAGGAAAACTATGTCGCAATATAAGGTGGCTATATGATTTCATTAGGGGATACGTTTAAAAAGCATGCGCCAACATCAATTAGTTGAACATGTGTCCTCAATTCTCGAAGTACGAGTTTAAATGCTTCCCGAAAGAAAATGGCTACGTTCTGAGGATAAGTGTAGATGAACATCATCTAGATTTAAACGACATTCACCTCGTCCATTCAAGTGTAAATAGTTTAGCTTTTTAGATGACTAACATACCACTCCCAGATAAGCTTTTGATCTACTGACACCACAGATGAAGCATCCTTTGTACTCATGCACTTTGACAAGGTCGTATTGTGTTGAAGGTCGGGAGGGTCATGGTAAACTATGGGGTGACTGCGTCCCCAAGCTTTTCACTCAGGCAGCCAAAAAGTGATATATAGGCCCAGAGAGTACTTTGAACAAACGCCCATCTTATAAGGTCAAACCGAGCCCACCCATCTACCGTGTAGTAAAGACTACAAGTCATGATCACTGAAAACATTCTACTCGTCATTGAGAGTGATCAATCCTGTACTGTGTAAAACACTCTAATTCAAGTGACATATGTCAATCAAATGAGACTTATATATAGTCATTTCTCTGTCAAACTGTTGCTATATATGCCACCATTCATTAATATATAACCTTAGATAGTTGGAGGCAGAACTTTAGAAGAATATATTTCTTCACTGACTGACGATATGAACTTTCTAGTAGATTCTGTGAATGTTTTTTTTTCCTCTGAGAAAGTGTTTTCAATGACCTTTGCGGATCTTTAAACCTTCTGGGCACGTCCATGCCTTATTTCATGCTCGCTGCACTAATCTGCCCATTATCCGGCTGTCACCGCCCGCTGCACTCCGAACTGCAATTGATGAGGTGTGGTCGGCAAATGTCGGGCTATGTTCTGTCTTACGAAAACAATATGGCGACGGCGCACCTTTTGTGTGACGGGAAAGGGCAACTCCCAATGAAAGCACGCGTGGGATTCACCGCAGTTATCTTGTCTTCCGTGGCATCCGCGACCAGGTGTTGAGACATGACGTCAGGACAAGATTTGCCCGATAAAACGCCGACAATGTTCCGGTTATTTAGTCGGTTCTATGCCCCGCCATGACCTGAATGAAATTGCAACTTTTGTCCGCAGTTCATTGACCCCTCTAAACTTCATGCTACGTGACTGACAGTTTACAACCAGAAAAATTGAATCCAACTTTCTTCATAGAAACTTTTTAAACAATCTAACATCAATATTTGGCAAGAAATGGCACATACTTTTTATTATGTGGCGTACAATTTTGCCTGTTGAAGGGCCCGCCCCGTAAGTTACGACAGCAAATTGAGAATATTTCGTGGCACAGTTGTACATGTGTCGTATAGAATTTGGCTGCCTTTTGACGGTAAAGGTTGCCATAGGTCCTCGTTATCGTAAATGTTAGTTTTTTTTAGTCATAGCATAGCTAAAAAGGCCAACGAATAATAAATGTACTACGGGTACCACAACACCTACTGTTAACTATCAGAGTACATTCCCTATACATTTGCCTAACTAATACATTCATGTAAATTCAGAAAAACAGTAGAAAAATGAATATGAAGCTGATGAAATGTTGCATTTAAGAACACCTAGATTAAGTGAGAACAAGAGTTCACGCATAACCGTTTACTATAAGACTGTGTCCACTTTCAAAAGCAACTCTGATGTTCAGGCTTGTATAAAAAGGGCAAAACCTGCACATAAACAAGCTTGAAAATTCAGATTCTTCATGCACAGCAGGAAGCTACAGTCAAGGCTTTATCACCGTAACAGGAGCCGACAAGAAATGGCAAAAGTCTTGCATTCATCTGCCAGTGTTCCTGCCAGCCTTTCCAGCTCGCCTTTCCCATAGACAGGACGCTACAAGAATGCCTAACTAATCTATAGTGTTATATGCAGTATGCCTAACTACTTTCAGTATGGTGAGTATACAGCATAGCCTAACTGTGGTAAAATTTTCTCGGGACTATGTTGGCCCTGGAGCCGAGGAGCTAGCTTGTGAAGCCCTAGGAAACAGTCTGGCTTCCAGGCTGATATAAGCATGGCAAACCTATATGTATATAACATTAAAATGCCCCAAAGTGTGTAAAAAGAGCTTAATGATAAAAATTTTCTCGTTATGTAGTGCTTTTTTGGTAAAGGGCTTGAGATTCGACCAGCATATAGCTTGATTCAGTTCTATTCTGAACCACAAATATTAAAACATTGACGGTAATTTTGCATGATCTATTAAGAAACAAACACAGACTCTACTGTTTAAATCATATATTCACTCAAACAATCAACAATTTAGAATTATGCACGAGGAAAGTGATTCAAATTCACCAATCAATGAAAATAATTTCTTTTCTGCCTGTCACACTATCACAAAGAGAGCCAGATCTTTGTTGCTTGGTCACCTGCCTAACAGTGCAATGTGATGGAAGCGCAAGTTTCGTTGCCTAACTAGTCTAAAAGAACGCAAGAATGTGAAACCAGTGGTTGGATCTTTGTGTACAATATTTCTTGCCTAACTTGCAAACTCACAGCGACCACTTCAAGAAAACACCGTTTTGCAAAGATAATAATCGGGATGATGCAAAGTTGAACTGAATCATTCATAGCCATACATGATGGGGATATCAACGTTTGATATTAATGGTCAAAAGTCGTAAAAATGGCACATTATTTTGTACGTTTATAAAGATCTATCAAATAAGACTTTTTCTTAATAATTTCCTTATAGACGCCGACAAGAGCACTTTTGAGGAGTATAATTTGTTTTGTTTTAATCAGTTTATTCAATATGTTGTGTTTTGGTCAAAAGCCAGCAAGTTGTGTGCTTTCCGCAAGTTTAGGTTACTGATAAGTCATGTAACAAAAGCGCCACATTGTGCCAATAAATGGTATTGCAGTGAACTAGAACTATGAGTTCAGAATCAGATATTAACGGCATGTAATATATGTCTGGTACATTTTCACATTTTTACAAATCAGGTCGGTTTGTCCTATAATATTATAATCTGTAGTGCAGTTTCTGTCCGCGTTGAGAAAAATGGTAAAACTTACTATGGACTATGTACGGAAGTCGCGAAAGACTCTAAAAGGGATTTGAATTTAGGTTTCTTTATCTATTCATAATATATATTAGGCTTCTCTATTTTTCACTGTGCCCATTTTAATTCAATAATGACAATATGTAAGACACTTCACGAACAATACTTTATTGGATATATAACAAATGATGTTTCCTTTGCATTTTACTAATAGAAGTGGTCTAGTGGGTAATTCTTGTAAACTGTCACATCTTGAAGGACTGCCAATCCTCATTCAAGAATATACTCCATTCCACGGATTGATATTTTTGGTCTCTAAACTTTGTCTATTGGCAGGTCGAACTTTCCTTTCAAATGTTGTACAATGTAAGGTGTGTAGATTAACGGTGCAATATAACATTTGGCGTCAGGGGGAGCTGCTTGGAGTGTTGCACCAAAGTACAAGTCTAGAAGTTACTAGTAGTTTTGTAACACTGTCGTCTGAAACAGCACCAACATAACTATAAAAATTCTCTGTGAGTTACTTTTATAACGGGCTATGTTATTTTTGTAATGCCGCCAGAGGACAGGAATATATACCTTTACCAACCAACAACCTAAGATCAACCTATTAAAGTTGGTCGCAAGTCTTTCCCATCTGCGGACTCGGCGCTGTAAGGTCTACCCCGCCAGGGTAACTATGCCCACCCGCGGATTTTCCTGGCTGAATCCAAATAAAATCCCTAGCAGATGCCAAGAGTCTTCCTCAGGTTACCTCTAGCCTTGGTGCCAGACTGTTTCTAGGCTAAGGTAACATTTCCTTGGGGCCATGTTGACTCTACATCCGAAGAGCTAGCTAAAGGCCTCCAAGCAGTCTGGCACCCAGACTATTTTTCCACCAACCAGATCCTCTAAATATTTAGATCACGTCCAATTATCCCAAGGTTTGGACTAAACCATTGTGGTACCTTGGGAGGTTGAAGTGAAAATCCTTGCGTTTTTCTTTCTAAAGTCACGGCTAATACTTATTCACATCTAATTATTACAAGGATAGTCTCTAAAAATGTTGTCCGTAAGATACAGTGTCCACCTTTATTCAGTAACAGTGAGCAAGTCCTAACCAATGTTCTACAGTTCGCCAAGTCGACTACAACGACTTGCCAAGTCTACATGTATTAAGATGCCAAGAAAAATCCAAGACGCCTGACTCTAGCTGGTTCCACAAACATTATGTCTCCTTTGCAAGTCCTTGTCATCTTTGTGGCGGGCCTGCCTGCCTTCTTGGCAGAAGCAACAACCGTCTTCACTCACAGTGCAGTTCTTGACACACAGGGGAAGTTTCGCCTACGATGGTTCTTCGACGAAGCTAGCATCACATTTGAAGCCACCGCGGAAACCAGAGGATATGTAGCGCTGGGATTCTCTCCAAATGGCGGCATGGCCAACTCTGACATTGTGATTGGCTGGGTGGAGGACGGGCGTGCAGAGTTGGAAGTAAGAATAACTCACTTTTCAAAACTGTCATTTTTCAAAAGTAACTGCCACTTGAAAAATAGTAAAAAGCACTGTCTTAGTAAGTGATCACTGTATGTAACTTACCGAATATTGCAATACAATGAAGGAATATTTACTCAACATATGATATCATATCTTCCCTAGATCGTACAAGGAAACAAGGTTTCCCTTAATAGATCAACATTTTAGCAGCGTAGCTACAAGGATGTCTTCTAGGTCCAAGCCAGTATGTACGAGACATATGGCTTATGGAACTAGAAGAAGACGTTCTTGTAGCTACTAGTACCCATTCTTGTGACTCATTTCTCTATCTGTACGTGCACATGTTTTGCACAAAATAGAAACAAAAGTGGTGCAAAACAGGCGTTGTGATATTTACAACGTTATCGTCCCAAAGTACTGTGCAGCGTATACGTAGCTAAAAGAAAGGCTTTTAGTTTCAAGCCCAGTCATATGTTTGGGGGTGGCTTGAAACTAGAATACTTTCTTGTGACACATTCCTCTGCGCACATGTTTTGTATCAAGTGACAGACCGAGGATAAAGTCGAGAGGAGTTGAGTATATTATTGGCCATGGAACAGAAGTTCGTTGCCCTTGACCGAGAGTACCAGTTACAGAAAGCAGCATGGGAAGCTAACGCTCCGACATCTGTTTGTCATCAGCTTGGCTCAACACTCCGCCTGGTACTTGTTTTACAATTTGACACCCCTTTTGCTGACCTAGAAGTTTCAGTAAGGTTGGGGAAAGCTCGTTATTATAATGTAGATAGTTTTTAAAGTTCCAAATATATAAAACTACTAAGTGTCTTCATTTAGTACTGTGTGAGCATAGGAAGTTAGAAATTATTCATTAGTTGTTGGTTGGTTGGTTGGTTGGTTGGTTGGTTGGTTGGTTGGTTGGTTGGTTGGTTGGTTGCTTGCTTGCTTGCTTGGATAATTGGTTGTAGAATATCATGTACGCAGTGTTCTTAGTTCCGTCAGTTTATGAGAACTTATTTGTGCCTGGAAAGCAATGACTTTGCCTTTTAACAGAGCCCCGGGCGGCAGAAACGTTGCTTTTACTTTGTAAATTATACTTGTTTTTCAGAAAGTTAAAATAAGGAAGCGTTGTTAGTTTTATCTTGTTACATAAATCGGCATCTACGTAGAATTCATCGCTCCATTTGGACGCGTTGATCCGTGTATTGACCACACCCTGTGGTGACTGACAAACCTCCATCACATCGCTCTGCACGGCCTGGAAACGGCGGACTTCCTCCCAGAAATCAGCGCCCTGCAGTTCTATCTTCTTCCACAAGGTAGCGTTGAAGTGCGCGTACATTGCGTAGTCAACCTTCGACCAACTCTGATGCGCTCTCCTTTGCTCAAGCGAAGGTTGCATTTCCTTGTACTTGTATGTTCTCTTGTTCTGTTTCCAGTACAAAATGTCGGCAAAAGACCAACACATATACCTCTTCAACAACACCAACGATTCGTTCAAATACTCCAAAATCATCACCAGCAAAAAATCTTCGTCTATCTTTGCGACATATTTTCTGATAGCGTCCTGATTGTTTGATTGTCGTTTGACCGGAAAACCCAGGTCGAAGGACATGAAGTTCCTCGTTTCGCGAAGACTCCTGTACTTACCCGGGGATTTGAGGAATTTCAAGACGGGATTTTTGCCCTTGATTTTTAAATGTCGTGCAACATGGAAAAAGTTAAAGGCTGATTTGAAGTGGCTGAAAGGCTCTCGTAGGATGGTAATGTACACAGTATCATTAGGCATGATGCCTTGTAGGATCCCCTTATTATACACTACGTGCCGAACAAGGATGTTGTATTCGCCGGTTAAAGTAGGGAGAAAATCGCGCCGTTTCAGTTGGTTCGGCCAGCCCAGTCTGATACCCCGTCGAGGAAGAACAAAGGACAGGTTCCGAACATCGCCGAAACGCTGAAGTATGGCGGCAACCGTCGAGCCCCCGGCCTGGAAACAAAACATATTTGTTGGAAGTATTGTTTTGGGCATGTTTGGTTCACTGAAAGTTCGTATCTTGTCCTGAGCATGCTAGCAGCAAAGATTGGAAGTAAGTGGGTGGAGATTTTGTATCAGTTGGCTGTCAGGGTTGTGACCTAGTATACCCTGGGTAGCACGTCGGCAGAACGCACTGCACCTGCGCGAAACCCGTAATGTATTCTACATAGCACTTCGCATCGACAGAAAGTCTCATATAAGGTCGCACTAGCGCATATAAGGTTAACACACCGTCTGTAGTTTCCAAATGTTATGTAGGAACCTTTGCAACAGGCAAAATTCTGATGCAACATTGACCAAAAATCCACCGAAAATCAAGGAAATACAGGGTTCTGCGCAGGCGCAGTACATTCTGCCGACGTGCTACCCTGGGTGGGAGTATATACAGTTTATGGTCACCAGGAATGCGTACTGTGTAATCATGGTATGAAATTAAACATAGACCAATGGTGTATATCCAGATTAAATTACACCATACAGTCCTTTAATGTTCGTAATACTATGATGTATTTTTTTGTATTTCCCCATGATCATACAGTACAGTTACTACAATACATTTCCATCAATCCAAACACTTTCTGGAAGTCTAAATTCTCCAGTTGTTTGTTTAAATATGGAATCCTTCTAAGACCGAGAGGATATTTTTTCCTAACTATTTGTAGGAATTGTTGTATATGTACTTTGTATACGTACTTTGTCGAAAACACAAAGTACGTATACAACAAACGTTTCCCTGTTTTTCCCCTGGTTCTCTGTAGGTTTAGTTACCTTGTGGACTTTAACGAAGACAAAGTTGGTGTGCTCCTGGCAAGGTCGGCATGCAGAAGTGTTGCTCACAGCACGATAAGTGCTAAATTCTGATTGGTGCTTTATATTGTTCATATACAGGATCACAGAAATCCCCATACACGCCCCAGCCACTATCAAGATTCCACTCCACTTTGACGAAGACATTTCTGTGGACATAGAAACGTTTAAACGTCAGATCTAACAGTTCTACGACCTCATACGTTTGGCGTGTTCTTCTCTTTAACTTAGGGAGAGCATTTCTCAATCTGCAGAAATTATGTATGACGATATGATACACAAACAAAGGTATTCATGTCTCATATTGTTTACAAAGAGACTCGGACAGACAGACAGACATACACACACACACACACAGACACACACACACAGACACAGAAGCAAATAGACACACACACGCCCTCAAACGAACATATGACGGTTACCAGTTGGATCCATTGGTCTTCACACACATGTACACAAAGTCGTCAACAGTAATGTATAATTAACCTTTTAAAACCTACCAGAAATAATTCTACATGACATCATGAGTCCAAAAATCCAAGACCTTAAGATACACGTACCAGATTTGGTGTAAAAACAACGTTTTCTTCTCTTGAGTTCTTATTCTGTATCCTGGGTGCCGTACTACTTAGTATACACCGGATCTCCGACTAGAGTGACAAGCAGGCTACGTTATACCTCGTAATCCTTGGGAAAAAGTGCTACCCTTTGTGTAAGTAGCATCACAACAGCTAACGCCCATATTTAAACATGTCTGCCTATGTGCCCTTTTGTGCGTAATATCCACTTTTCTTCCCCCCTCCCATAAGCTTTTCATTCGCGACTACGTCGACTTTTCTTTCCTAAAGTAGGCGTCGACGAATCTTTCGTTATCAAAATGTTGTTGAATCAACAAATCGTCAGAAGTTGGAGCGTATTTATCTTTGAAAATGATCCTTAGACTACCACATTGGACGAGAATCAGTCACCTGCGAACATCGACCGATCTCATGAAAATCTAGAATACACCAACTTTATGTAGTAGTAGTAGTAGTAGTAGTAGTAGTAGTAGTGGTTTATTGATAAAAACACGATACAAATCGGCAGTATACACTGAATTGCGCCGAATTTTACATTCCACATACTCAGTAAAACTAACACCGTAGGCTAATATAATACATATACAAGTATATACAAGTAACATTCAATAATTGACGACATGTACTGACTGCCAAAAAGGTATAAGACCTTGCAGTAAGAGTACCTACCGTTCTTCCTCAAGCAGAGTTTTCAAACAACAAGTCTTACAATTCATTAAGTTTCAAAACTGGGACGGGTTTTTTTGTGAATAACTCAGAGAACATTAACCACAAGGTCGGATTCATAATTGGACTGTTCCATCCTGCACCATACGTAGGGGTGTGCACACTACTGATGCCTGCCCTGGGTCGATGCCCCTTCATAACTTCATGAGGATCGACCCTCCAAGTCCAAGCAGATGTTAGATAATAATCGCTAGTGACCCCCTGAAGACGTTCGCCAGCAATTTTACCCCCCCCCCCTCCTCCGCATATCGCCTCCTGCTCACAGTTTTGGCATACATTAGAAGATCTTACAACTACATGTACATAAATTTGACACCACAGTGTTGCGTTGTCATTGGGGATTGATATCATGTTTATTTAAACAGGTTGTTTGTTTGTTTGTTTGGTTGGTTGGTTGGTTGGTTGGTTGGTTGGTTGGTTGGTCGGTCGGTTGGTCGGTCGGTCGGTCGGTTCGTTCGTTCGTTCGTTCGTCGGAAAGTAGATAGTTAACTGTCTGACTGCTAGGTTGCTTGCATGGCTAGGTTCTAGGTTGGTTGTTACGTTGGTTTGTTAGTGAATAGTTGGCTGACAGACTGCTAGATTGGTTGGTTGGTTGGTTGGTTGGTTGGTTGGTTGGTTGGTTGGTTGGTTGGTTGGTTGGTTGGTTGGTTGGTTAATTGAGTGGTTGGCTAGCTGGCTGGTCATTTGGTCGATTGGCTGTCTGACTGGTTGCTTGCAATTTGTTGCTTGGATGTAGAATATCATAATCATGTTCTCATTGACCGAAGTCCCGTCAGTTTATCAAACGCCGGTAGTACCTTGAAAACAATGACTTTGTCTTTTAACAGAGCCCCGGGCGGCAGAAACTTTGCTTTTACTTTGTAAATTATACTTGTTTTTCAGAAAGTTAAAATAAGGAAGCGTTGTTCGCTTTATCTTGCTACATAAATCGGCATCTACGTAGAATTCATCGCTCCACTTGGACGCGTTGATCCGTGTATTGACCACACCCTGTGATGACTGACAAGCCTCCATAACATCGCTCTGCACGGCCTGGAAACGTCGGACTTCCTCCCAGAAATCAAGGCCCTGTAGTTCAATCTTCTTCCACAAGGTAGCGTTAAAGTGCGCGTACATGGCGTAGTCAACCTTCGACCAACTCTGATGCGCTCTCCTTTGCTCAAGCGAAGGTTGCATTTCCTTGTACTTGTATGTTCTCTTGTTCTGTTTCCAGTACAAAATGTCGGTAAAAGACCAACACATGTACCTCTTCAACAACACCAACGATTCGTTCAAATACTCCAAAATCATCACCAGCAAAAAATCTTCGTCTATCTTTGCGACATATTTTCTGATAGCGTCTTGATTGTTTGATTGCCGTTTGACCGGAAAACCCAAGTCGAAGGACATGAAGTTTTTTGTTGCGCGATTTTTCTTGTACCTACCCGGGGATTTGAGGAATTTCAAGACGGGATTTTTGCCCTTGATCTTTAAATGTCCTGCAACATTGAAAAAGTTAAAGGCTGATTTGAAGTGGCTGAAAGGCTCTCGTAGGATGGTAATGTACACAGTATCGTTAGGCATGATGCCTTGTAGGATCTTCTTATTATAGACTACGTGCCGAACAAGGATGTTGTATTCGCCGGTTAAAGTAGGGAGAAAATCGCGCCGTTTCAGTTGGTTCGGCCAGCCCAGTCTGATACCCCGTCGAGGAAGAACAAAGGACAGGTTCCGAACATCGCCGAATCGCTGAAGTATGGCGGCAACCGTCGAGCCCCCGGCCTGGAAACAAAACATATTTGTTGGAAGTATTGTTTTGGGCATGTTTGGTTCACTGAAAGTTCGTATCTTGTCCTGAGCAGCATAGATTGAAGTGAGTGGGTGGAGATTTTGTATCAGTTGGCTGTCAGGGTTGTGACCTAGTATACCCTGGGTGGGAGTATACAGTATACAGTTTAAGGTCACCAGGAATGCGTACTTTGTAATCATAGTATGAAATTAAACATAGACCAATGGTGTATTTCCAGATTAAATTACACAATACAGTCCTTTAATGTTCGTAATACTATGACGTGATTCAATCTGGTATTTCCCCATTATCATACAATACAGTTACTACAATACATTTCCATAAATCCAAACACTTTCTGGAAGTCTAAATTCTCCAGTTGTTTGTTCAAATATGAAATCCTTCTAAGACCGAGAGAATATTTTTCCTAACTATTTGTAGGAATTGTTGTTTATGTACTTTGTATACGTACTTTGTCGAAAACACAAAGTACGTATACAACAAACTTTTCCCTGTTTTTCCCCTGGTTCTCTGTAGGTTTAGGTAATTACCTTGTGGACTTTAACGAAGACAAAGTTGGTGTGCTCCTGGCAAGGTCGGCATGCAGAAGTGTTGCTCACAGCACGATAAGTGCTAAATTCTGATTGGTGCTTTATATTGTTCATATACAGGGTCACAGAAATCCCCATACACGCCCCAGCCACTATCAAGATTCCACTCCACTTTGACGAAGACATTTCTGTGGACATAGAAACGTTAACGTCAGATGTATCAGTTCTACGACCTCATACGTTTGGCGTGTTCTTCTCTTTAACTTAGGGAGAGCATTTCTCAATCTGCAGAAATTATGTACGGCGATATGATACTCAAACAAAGGTATTCATGTCTCATATTGTTTACAAAGAGACTCGGACAGACAGACATACACACACACACACAGACACAGAAGCAAATAGACACACACACACCCTCAAACGAACATATGACGGTTACCAGTTGGATCCATTGGTCTTCACACACATGTACACAAAGTCGTCAACAGTAATGTATAATTAGCCTTTTAAAACCTACCAGAAATAATTCTACATGACATCATGAGTCCAAAAATCTAAGACCTTAAGATACACGTACCAGATTTGGTGTAAAAACAACCGTTTTCTTCTCTTGAGTTATTCTGTATCCTGGGTGCCGTACTACTTAGTATACACCGGATCTCCGACTAGAGTGACAACAAGGCTACGTTATACATACCTCGTAATCCTTGGGAAAAAGTGCTACCCTTTGTGTAAGTAGCATCACAACAGCTAACGCCCATATTTAAACATGTCTGCCTATGTGCCCTTTTGTGCGTAATATCCACTCTGCTTCCCCCCTCCCGTAAGCTTTTCATTCGCGACTACGTCAACTTTTGTTTCCTAAAGAAGGCGTCAACGAATTTTTTGGTTATCGAAATGTTGTTGAATCAACAAATCGTCAGAGGTTCGAGCGTATTTATCTTTGAAAAGGATCCTTAGACTACCACATTGGACGAGATTCAGTCACTTGCGAACATCCACCGATCTCATAAAAATCTAGAATACACCAACTTTATGTAGTAGTAGTAGTAGTAGTGGTTTATTGATAAAAACACGATACAAATCGGCCTTGCAGTATACACTGAATTGCGCCGAATTTTACATTCCACATACTCAGTAAAACTAACACCGTAGGCTAATATAATACATATACAAGTATATACAAGTAATATTCAATAATTGACGACATGTACTGACTGCCAAAAAGGTATAAAAGCTTGCAGTAAGAGTACCTACCGTTCTTCCTAAAGCAGAGTTTTCAAACAACAAACAACATGACTCAGAGAACATTAACCACAAGGTCGGCTTCATAATTGGACTGTTCCATTCTGCACCATACGTAGGGGTGCAGGATTTTTCACACACACACCCGCATTTCGCCTCCTGCTCACAGTTTTGACATGCTTTTCCATGTTACAAGATCTTACAACTACATGTACACAAAATAGACACCACAGTGTTGCGTTGTCTTCGGAAGTCATGTTTATTAAAACAGATTGTTTGGTTGGTTATTTGGTTATTTGGTTTCTTTATGGTCGGTTGGTTGGTAGGTTGGTTGGTTGGTTGGTCGGTCGGTCGGTCGGTCGGTCGGTCGGTCGGTCGGTCGGTCGGTCGGTCGGTCGGTTGGCTGGTCGGTCGGTCGGTCGGTCGGTCGGTCGGTCGGTCGGTCGGTCGGTTGGTTGGTTGATATTCTGATTTTCTCTAGCTGTTTTTTGTTTTTTTGACAGCTGGCCCCACCAAGGTACTGTGATGAAAAGAATGTCACAGTCTTTATATCTGACCTCCGCTTGAACAGAAATTAGACTTGTCCAAACGGTTGATTCCACGTGCAATACGTAACATGGCAGACCAGTCGAACGGCATCGGATTCAGTGTGACTGTGACACGTATTGTTCTCTAGTACCGTGGCCGACGGCAAAAAATTCCTTTTTCTACTTCGCACTGAAGCTATGTGTCGCTGCTGCACTATGAAGAATGCGGTTCCAAACGCGACTGCCTTTCTAACCCCCCTCCTCCCCCCTTACCAGCCTGATAAAATTATTCACGGACAAAAATCCCCGTACTTTTCATTTGATACATTTTTTTTTTACTTTTCAGGACCGCTATGCACACGAAAAGTCACAGCCAGTCCTGGACGCCAAGCAGGACTGGACGCTGCACGAAGCACAAGAGAACGGTACTCACACCACCATGCGGTTCAGCAGAAAACTGCAGACATGTGATTCCTCGGATAGAGACATCCAGGTTAGCTGCCAAATACGTATGTAATAAGTAGCCTCCTTCGCAGTCTTGTTGGGCGTCGGCGTTCTTTTTTCTCTGAGCGACGCGAGTAATATGCGGCCGCGAGGGACGATTTGCTGCCGAGGGAGTTTTTGAAACTCGCGTCGCTCAGAGAAAAAATAACGCCGACGCCCAACAAGACCGCGAAGGAGGCTATGTAATAAGCACCGATTTGGATTCAGTAATACATTTGGTTTTACCAGTACGTACCGGTAGTACTAAATAAAATCCAAATTAATTCTAAATCCTAAGCATACATCCGTAAGCCAAACCAAGACATTGCTTTATATTGAGTGTAACTGTTAAAGACATCCAATGCACTTTCAGTAGCCTGATTAAATCGCTTTTGCCGGCCGCCCAACATCCAGCCGGCCCCCTATGGGTGGCGGACTATGTAGGGAGCCCCCCGGAGCTTGGGTTACATAGGCTACACTTTCAGGTCGGCAAAACAAAAAAAATATATTCTGAATAAGAAAATCTGTCTGATATTGATATTAACTGCCATTTTTTAGCACTAGCTTTCTCGTCAGAATTTTATACTAGTAGCCCTAAAACAAGCTACATGAAGCATCTCTTTATTTTGGGGTACCACCCATAAATACCTAGTATCTACAATACAAAACAGGCAACTGCTTTCCGTCAGTGACATAGTATTTTGTCAGTATGCTATGGGATACGAGTGCTTTAACTTACTAATGTAAAATAATGACCAAAATTTGACTTTGAAAATTTTGTTTTGCTGCTCTGAAATTGCATTGCATGCCTTTAAGGACATGTAACTTGCAGTGGTTTGCCAAATTTCTCTTCGACTGAAGTTGTAACGGTTGGTATCCATCCGCAGAAAGGAACGACCAGAGTGATTTGGGCATACCACCCGGATGACCCTGACCCCGGGAGGGGACCGCTCTACCACGAGAGCCGCCGAGGGACCTCCAGTCTCAACCTGCTGGACCCCCCTGCACCGCCACAATGGGATAGTCCTGAGGACGTCTTGACGTTCGATGCTTTAACAGACAACGTAAGTATAGATGGGAACTATATTAAAGGAGCTTCCCAATTAAGACTGCGCGTTCCTAGTCTAAGGTCAAGGCCCCCGAAACGTTAACAAAAACACGTCAGACTACTAAGATTATACTTTGGACATCGGTATTAATTCTTATAAAGAACCGGATATTGTTCCTACATTGCTTACGTTTCAATGTTTATCAGACACCTTCCTTAGAGCTTCTGACTGGAGTTCGGCGAGAACACAATCCCAAACATGGCTACATTTGTATTCCCTCTTCAAACTCTAGTACTGTAGAACCAGCATTTAATATACATGCACATCTTTCCACACAGGTTCATGTACCACCTAGAGACACTACATACTGGTGTACCGCTCTCAGGATGCCACCAATGGACAGGAAACATCACATCATAAAGGTCATATACTTTATTCTTCGAGTTTCATATTTCATATACAATAATGTACATCAAGCAAAGTCTGTTTCCAACGCCTTTTTACATAATATTAACGGATGGGCGAAAATTGCTATTGTGGAATGTGGGCATAGATGTGGGTCAGAGAAATGCCTGTGGACATTCCATGCCTGTGGACAAAATGCCTGTACCATTCCTAGAGTTCTTGCAAACTGCACACAATACTGTACCTTTAGGCTCCTCCCTGAGACGTCGCCAAAAATGTTTTAAATGTTTACAAAGAGTTTCTATTCCAGATGGAAGCTATCATCCAGCCTGGGCACGAGAGACTTGTGCATCACATAGTTCTCTTCCAGTGTAAACACGATGGGAACGAGAGTTTGAGTCACCTGTCAAGCCCTCGCTGTGGTTCCGTCAGAAGGTCCTTAGATTGCGGACGCACTCGTTTTCTGGTGGCCTGGGCAGTCGGTGGCAATGTGCGTTATGTTTGTTTATTTCTTTGTTTGTTGGTTTGTTTGTTTGTTTATACTGTATAGAAAAAGTCGGATTTACAAAGGACATTGAATAACAGGACTTACCTGGCATATATATATGTATAAAATAATATGTATGCAATATGTGCAATATGTATAAAAGGTGGAGTTAAATATGTAGGGTTCACTCCACAAAAAGTGATATTTACCAATAGCTATAAATACACACAGTTTTAGGCCTAAATCAACCATTACTAGACTTAGCTGGCATTTATTATGATTATCTACTGGTAAATGCCATTTTCATAAGCTGAATTATCTCTTTTAATTTACTATATAAAATTTAAACACAATCCATGTTGATTATTACCTATAGCTCGCTTACTGCCATTGCTGAAGCTGTCAGTACATTCCGTTGGGTGTGTGTGAGTGAGTGTATTTGTGTGCGCACGCATGTGTCTCTTTGTCCCTGTGTGCTTTTTTCTATCTGTTTATGAATGTGTGTTTCTTACCTACATGAAGGGGTGAAGTCTGCCATCTCTAATTTTCCCGTAGGATCTGTATTTGCCCGAAGATGTTGGACTACCCGTAGGTGATGATGATGGCAACGTTTTAGTACTGCAGATTCACTACGACAATCCAAACCTGAGAGACGGTTAGTACTTAATCTAGTACATGATATATCGCTGCACGAATTTTCAGCTTTTGTTTCTTCATTTAAGTCAAGGACCTAGAACCAGGTATCGAACTGTTAGCCGATTTCGTTCAGTTGCCAAAAGCACTACCTTGAAAGAGCGAGGCCCGGCCAACTCCCCTCGGGCTCAACTCCCCCGTAGCGGTAATTTAGACAGGCGGGCGTACTGCTTTTGGCCACCGAAGGGAACCGGCTAACGACCCGCGATGCTATAGGCTGGCTCCCAGGGTAGGCGTCGATGATTGTGCATACTTTCCGGAACTCTCCAACTTCTTGTTATGTTTACCTTTGCAGAACGAAAACATATTGTTTTTGCTCTGGTTCTTCTTCTTCTCCAAGCACATAAGGCCAATGACTTGGACCAGACGTCTGGTAAGGCCATGTTGATTTGATTATATGGATGACATCCGCGCGCGCATGAATTTTCGGCCGTTTCCAAAAAAAAAAAAGTTTTCAACCATACTGTAAATCGTGCAAAACAGTTGCTAAATGAGCAAAAATATACCATATGTTGCAAGGAAAACATTTAGAAACGATACCAATGTCGTAGAATGCCAAAATCAAAGGAAAAAAGACAAAAATGTAAAGAAATGAATTCGAAGAGTAGATTATTCGCCATAACATATTCTGTGCCATTTGTTCAACCTTCATGACCACGTAGATTTCATAGTGAAAGCAACTTTTTTTTTTGCAAAACTTTTTTTTTATTCGCACGCGCGCATCAGTTTTGGGGTTCCCAGAGGATGTCATCCATATAATCAAATCAACATGGCCTAACTGGTGCTGTAGCAGACACCCTGTTGTGTTGGGTTACATTATGTAGCAGGACAGTGTTGGAGAGGCTGGTCGCCATATATATTATTGTGTTTGAGGAAGAATAAGTGGAGCAATAGTTTGTTGGCCTAGACCTTGTGAAGGTAAGCATTTATGCATTTGCTCTGCAAATGTCGACATTTCTAGTTTCTTATCCGTTTTTCAGACCTGTACGACAGTTCCGGAATCCGGATCCACTACACGCCGGTACTGCGTACCCATGACGGAGGCGTGCTGCAGATCGGGGCAGAGGTCAGTCCCACCATGATGATACCGCCTGGAGCAGACAGGTTTAACGTGTACGCGTACTGCAGTTCATCCTGTCTCCAAGAGGTACATGTATGTTTTGTTTTTGGCAACGCCTGCATGGCGTAACTACCTACCAACTAATAGTATTGTAGCAGCCGGTCGTAGAACTATCTAGGCGGACGTTCGTCGTTCACAGCTGATACCGTTCCAAAACTTTCAATAATGAATTATTTCC